TTTGATACTATCTCATTGCTATTTGTTTCTCAATAAAATTATTTAAAAAATAAAAATAAATGTGTATATAGAAACAGCCATAGTCATACGTGTTTTTGGGTGGTGGTGGTGGGGAAAGCAGAAACATTTGTGGGTTGTGAAAGTACTGGTGATATTTGTTTTCTTTCCTAAGACTTTTTGTGTTTATTGAATATTTCATACTTGTTTCAATGATAAATTCAGCAAATAATTTTAATAGAAGTCTTGTAGTGCATTTGAAATCACAACATGTCTAATATTACAAGCATTCTTTTTGTTTTTTGGTTGGTTGTGGTTTTTGGAGCCAGGGTCTTGCTGTGTAATCCAGGTTGGTCTTGAACCCACTTTGTAGCCCAGTCTGGCCTCAATCTCATGGCGATCTTCCTGCCTCAGCTTCCTGTATGCTGGGATTATAGGCATGCGCCACCACACTTGGCTATAACATTATAAACATTCTTGAAGTGGTACTGGGTGAAGGATGTTAAATTGATGGTAGATGTTGGATATAACCGTTGTACATTGTAATAAAGGATGCTATATTTCATTTTTGGTAGAATGAAAAAAAACTTGAAAAAGAGAAAAAGAAGCACACGATGGAGAAAGATAGTGACATGTGCCCCCTGCAACAGAAAATGGAACAGGAACAAGTGGAAACGCAGAGCGAGACCAGCAACAGTAGCCGAAGAAACAACGAGTCGGAAGGAGTGGAAAATTACAAGGAGGCACTGACCCAGCAGCTGGAGGATGAAGACGAGACGGACCAGCGGTCCTCAGAGTCAGGTGACAGTGTGGTGTGGCGCGTAGAGGTGGCTTTGTTCATTTCGCCTGTTTTCATAAAACCATGTTTTTCAGTCTTCAGATGCAGGATTTATGTTGGCTTTTCCCACCGTCTTTAATTGCTCAATAGCTGGTTTTCTCAAAGGCATTTTTGCATGTCGGCTTAACGTATGGTCCTTTATAACCTCACAGAATTCAGCAGAAATTCAGTTTGAAAGATTTAGAATGCAGCCTAATTCCTAGGATTTCTTGGAACTCATTAACATTTTTAAGCTCTGTTGTTATTTGTTAAACATTTTAATGTTAAAGTTTACATTGTTTTCTCTATTGTTTGTTTCTATAAGATTTAAACATCATTAAACCATTTTTGGAATCTTGTCGGGGCCATGGTGAGCTCGGTGGTAGAGCTCCTGCCTCGCTGTCCGAGGCCCTCAGTGTCGCCAAGCCCACGCACAGAAGGCCTGTCAAAAAGCCATTTTTCTTAGGTGGCGAGATTTTTATTGCAAGGCAGTTAGTTAACTGCTGATGTGACTTCCCGGATGTGCTGACGTCCTAGGAGATGGCCTGTGTTTGGAATCAGAACCAGAGACAGGCTCCTTTTGCTCAGTGCATTTTTAAATGCTGTCACAGCAACTCCCAGCCTGCGTAGCGCCAGGGACAGTTCTGTGGCTGGCGGGCTTTACCTTGGACAGGAAGCGTGTGTGGACCTGGGGGGGCTGGGAGTCAAACAGTGATGTGCTACTCTTCGGTGTTACTACACTGTAGTACATAATGAAATCATGCACCTCACAGTAGTGCGGCATCACGGGGAGCCCGGAGCTTGCTTTTCTGTTCCTGGACAACCCTGCCTAGGGTGCTGGGACGTGACACCTGACGTGTGTTGCTTTTGTCTGGTCCACGCCGTCATCCCATTTTAGCTGCTGTCATTGCAAAAAACCCTGCTTCATGAAGACAGATGTTGCAAATGGATATGGCTTTTCACGTGTTTTTGTGGCAATCTCAGGATATTTTGCCTTGACTTTAATTCGGAACGTATAGAGATTTGTGGCTTCTCAAGCACACATTTCCTTTCCTTCAGTCCTGGGGACGGAGCCCAGGGCCTCACGCAGGCGAGGCAAGCGCGCCACCGCTGAGCCACATGGCGCACGCGCTGTAAGGCTTCTGTCACTCTCGCCTGGAGCGAACGGTCCTCCTCTGGCACAAAGCCCAGCGTAGTGGACAGCTTAGTCCTGTGGCTTGTTCACAAAGGGGTTACAGACACGTTTCTTCGGTGTTCAGGGGTTAAGGAGTAATAAACCATTTTGAAAGGCAAAGAAAGTGCTTGTTTTCCAACTGGAACAAAGAAGGCCCAAGCTCAGTCTCTTTCAGACACCTGCAGTGTATGAAACATCACAAATCCTCGTGTTCGCTCATTACCCTCAGAGTCCCAGTTTGGCTTTAAATGCAGGCACTTGTCTGCCACATGGAACACACTTGTCATCCTCCCGAGTGACAGGCGGAGTTCCTTGAGCAGGTTCAATATGCCACATAAGTAAATTTTGCGTGTGACAAATTTGTTGCCACTGAAATGTGCTCCATTGATTACGGTTTTTCTAAAAGATAGCCCTGGAGTGGCTTTCATATCTCAAAAATTCTGGCCAGCGTCTCTTCACAGTGCTGCGGAATGTATGGGACTTCCGGGATGTGTGGGACTTCCGGGATGTATGGGACATCCGGCCAAACCCGAATGCCTCTGCGGCTGTGGTGTCGCTTGACAACAGAAGTGCACGTACCCTCATGCTCATCCCTCTGAAGTGTATGTTGCACAGAAACAAACGTTTTTGCCTTATTATCAACATCAGTGGACTCCTCAAGCAGATTGTCTACTGCAGTGGCGTAGTAATTCTAATGGCTGTGCCTCAGCGTCCTCTGGTATTTCATCAGATTGTGTAGTGAGGCACATGTACCATCTTGGGACAGTAGCTTATCCCCAAAGTTTAAAACAGATGTCCTTAGCATAAGATAGGATCCACTTTTGCCAGTACTAAAGAGCTTAGTTTTACCAGTGTGGTTAGCCCCCAAGACAGGCGCTTTCTGTGCGGAGGTTTTCTGATGAAGTCATGACCTTCAGTAGTTGCGTTTTGTCATCTTCATGGTTTTTCTTTCCTTGCAGTACTACAAAGGTTTGTCTTTTAACTCTTAATCTCCATGTGGCAAACAAGTTTTGAAGGTTTCATGACTTTTGGATAATTTGAACCTACTAGCATGAAACCCTCATAATTTAAATAGGACTCTTGGTATTTTCGTTTAAAAATAGCTTTCTATTTGTGGCAGCGTTAGTGTCTTCTGCTGTCTCATCATCACAGGGTCTTTTTCTTTCTTTCGTTCTTCTCTTTCCCTTTCCCTTTCCCCTTTCCTTTCCTTCGTTTGGAGACGAGTTCTCCCTATGTAGTTCTCTGTGTGTAGCCTTGAATGCACGGTGTAGTCCAAGCTGGCCTCGAACTCATGGCAGTCTTCCTGCCCCAGCTTCCCAGGTGCTAGGTCACAGGCACGTGCCACCACACCCACTGTCTTGCCCTCTTTGCAGAGGCTGTCCAGTTTTTGGCTCGACTTGCTTTGTGCACTTTGCATAACTGCAGCGGAGACAATATGTGGGCGGGAACATTACTGTATTTACCACTTCTACTAGGGAACATTCTTCTCCTAGTAGAAGTGGTAAATACAGTAATGGGCAGGCCTCGTGCAGACTAAAATAACTGCCAGATTCTAACTTAAAGCCTGTGTTTGGGTCCACCGTATCACTGAAGTGCATCACCTTAAGCCGGCTACCCTGTGCAACTTACTTGTCACTTGCCACTCACAGTAGAGTGACAGGGATTTGCCGTGAACCTGCAGGCAGTGGATTTATCATGGTCCCTGTGCAGTCGAACTTTCAGTGTTTATCTGCGTCCGCAGCAGCTCCGCAGTGCTCGCAGGCCTGCTCGGCTCTCCGGAGGTCCTCAGGCACAGATTCTCATGAGGCAGACATGGCCTCGGTCCCTGGCATGGGCAGTTCACTGAGCCTTCGTGCTCAGTAGTCATCTTCCGCCATCACTGACCCAAAGGGAGGCAGAGCCAGGTGGCAGTGCAGGGAGGGCAGCAGCTGTACCCAGAGGGCTGTGGTCCTTCCTGCCGTCGCCTCTGGCCGTGCAGCCCGGGTGGGCGTCCCTGTAACACGACATCGTTCAGACTTAGTGCTTCGTCTCTAAGATGGGGTAAATACCATGTATTTCACAGGGCTTTTGAGGTCACTTGTACCTACAACGTTTCTTCAAGAGGTACGGCCCAGTAATTATTTCCTTAATATTCTTACGTAGTGAAAAGGCTCCCTTGTATGCAAGAAATCTTTCAAGTATCCTTGTGTTCATGAAAATACATTCTCAATCACTGAGTGGAAGTTTTGCTGAACAAAAAATACTTCGGAAGTTATTTTTGTTAGATAAAAAGTTAGGGTAGCCATAACTTCCTATCAGCAGAGTTAAAAAGAAAGCAGTCTGAAAAAAGTGATCCCTGGTTTGTGAAAGGACTCTCACCTAACACACTGTAAAAAAGAAAGGGATTCAGCAAAGAACTTTAAAATGTGGCGGAGGGAAATCTGAGCTAGTGCGACTGCAGTGATAGTGTTGTATTTTATACTGTAGAGCACGTTTTTAGGTTCATTATATTACTCAACCCAAGGTTATAGTAGTCAATAGAGCAATCCTGGGGCACGTTATTTGCTATCTATCTATCTATCTATCTATCTATCTATCTATCTATCTATCGCTATCTGTCTATCTGTCTATCTATCTATCTATCTATCCAGGAACTTAGAGGTACTGAGTAATTTAAGCTCACATGTTTCATCTGGAGATGGGCTGAGGACCTGGTTCAGAGCAAGCACCCTCCAGGATCGGTGCCCTGCAGCCACCCCGACCTGCTGCTGGTCCCCACATTCTGTGTGGTTTTGCAGCCCTCCATCGTCTGCCCAGCCATAAGTTCCAACTTTAGTTGGGAAGATCACTCTATTTCTACTTACAGTGATGTGTCTCAAATGACAGTAACTGGGCTTAGGAAAATAATTTATTTCTAAATATATTTGCGTTTCTTACTGCTTTGTAGGCTTTACATTATTCACTCTTATGTAACTTTAACTCCTGTTTTAGTCAGTATTTTACATATGCGTGTATATAATGTATTACATATAAAGCTAGCTATTAGTTTTCTGTTTGTCTTTGTACTGGGGATTGAACTCAGGACCGCGTGCTTGCCAGGCAAGCCCTGTGCTGCTGAGCTATATCCTTGACCTGTAAGTTAGCCATTAGTTAAAAAGTTCTCTGAGGACATTGATTCAACTTCACATTTGGTTATCAATAGCAATTTCCAACAAAGATGTTTCTATTGTAATAATAGCAGTATCTCATTTTAGTTTGAGTTTTCTTTTTTCCAAAAGTTAGAGTGTTTTCTATTATGGATGTTTCCTTTTCTCCAGTGGTATTAAATCATGTTTATATGATTTTAGATAATAGTAAAAAGAAAACTAAGAAACTGAGAATGAAAAGGAGCCACCGGGTGGAGCCAGTTAATACAGATGATTCTACCCCCAAAAGTGCGTCACCCCCCCTGCCGCCCCCTCCTGGTGAGTACGTGCACATACTAAGTTTAAAAAGCCTGCTTTAAGCAATAAAGAAAAAAAGAAATTGTATGCTTTTGTTGAATACTCATTATCCTCTGAATTTATGAGAACCATTCACTTTTACTGCATGCAAAATTTGGCCACGTAAGTATCAGTTTTCATAATGTAAATAAGAACATAAACTCTGTTAGGGAACCCCTACCCAGCAATTCCCAGAATGTGTTCAAGTTCAGTTTGGAATATTAATACCCAGTCTGCTGAAGGAATTTAAGTTTACTGGATGGATGGCTGATGTTAGCTTTTGAAATTTTGGATCTTTCCTCCTGAGAAGAATTTTTCCATTATAAATCTTTTTAAAATATGTGTGTATATAATGTATTACATATAAAGCTAGCTATTTGTTATCTTTCAGCCCCTGTGACAGGTTAGAATAGTAGCCTGTGCTTATGATGGTGGTGAAGGGGCTTGTATTTTCAGTTAAAGGTGAATAAAAACTTAAAGTAGATGTTAGCAGCCTTGACAGTCCTTCTGTTTTGAAGTAGAAACCATTTAAAATGAATCTGTGGCTGTTCCATGTTGAATCATTCAGGGCATTTGCATTAACTCTGAGTGTCGCATGAACTTCCTGTCGCGGGAGGGCGCCTGCCCACGGTCCTGAGGAGACGTATGTTTAACATCCATTGCATGTTTTTCTTTTCCTGTAGTTGGCTGGGGAACCCCCAGAGTCACTAGACTTCCAAAACTTGAGCCTCTTGGTGAAACACGTCACGATGGTAATGCAAAAGGACTCGCTTCCAAACATCCCGTGTGCATGTCGCGTTCGCTTTCATTTACTTCATAACGTAAACCTCGGTTTTATGTGTAGCCCTTTTAAATCCACTGTCATACTTTTTCATTATGTTTTTTTATTTTATTCATTTAAATTTTTTCTCCATACATTTTGCATCTATGTAATTTGATTTTTATTTTAGACTATAAATGTAAACTCATTGTGCTTCTGCTTATCCATGCTGTGTTCATGTGAATACATGTGAAAGGGGGGAGGGGACATTACATTTAAACGTGAAGCATGAAAATTACACTTGAACAAATCCCTGTCGGTCCTTCGCATATACGTGATATACTCTAGGATAATGCCGCGTAGTTTTTTCTTCTTCTATTAAAACAGCTGCTGAATATTTTTTATGCTTGAAGCAGAGCCTGACTGCGCAGCTCGGACTCGTAGCGATCCTCCTGTTTCATTGTCCCGCAGTGCTGGGATTACAGGTGTGTGTGTGCCACCAGCCTGGTCTCGGTGGCTAGTTCGGCACGCCCAGGGCAGGCCCAACACAACAGGTGGTAGCAGGGATCGAACCTGGGTCCTTGCCCTTGCCAGGCAGGTGCTTAGACCGCTGAGCTATCTCTGTGGCCCCCAGCTGCTGAATATTAAAATAAAGACCAATAAAATCTTATAAAGTCAGAGAATAAATCAGTAAACCAAATAAAATTCAGTTAAGTGGAAAGTTACTGGCATCATTAAATTAAGAAAATAATTTTCTGTGAATGGAATTAACATTAACTTTAATCCAGCCAGTTGATGGCATTAGAACTATCGGAAGCAAAAACTAGAAATGGGACAGTTGGGAACAAGAGACACCTTGTACGACAGAGAAGAGGTTTAGACCGTCAGTCTGGGTCTTCACAAGAAGACACTTCTACACGCCAAAGAATAATTACGTATCATTGTGTCTTACTAAACTTGTTTGATCAAAATTTCTAATTCTGTTTTTGATAGCTCTGTGCTAACCTACTCTAAAACCTAAATTCCCTAAGGAGAACACTTAGTAGGAAAAAAGAAATGTAAAATTTAGAAACGCATCACTACATAATTTGATCTATATCAAACTATAAAATATTTTATTAAAAATTATATAAATATAAGTGTACTATTTGGTTTTTCTAGAGCACTATAGGCTAATAATGGAATATTTCATTATAATCGTTAGTGAAAACTGGAAGATGTTTTATATTACAAAAGAGAAGTTAGGGCCGGCAAGAGAGCTCAGCGGGGGAAGCGCCGGCTTAGGCAAGCGCAGGACCGAGGTCGGATCCCTGCTGCAAGCGTGCTGGCCCCGGCATGCTGAGTCGGCGGCGAACGAGTGCAGGCCTGTGGCGCGCCTGTAACCCAGCGCTGGGAGGCTGACCACGGGAGGGTCGCTGCGAGTCCGCGCTGCGTAGTGAGGCCCTGGGCCAAATACATTAAAAAAGTTAGATGTGGGGCTGGAGAGATGGCTCAGTGGTCTAAAGCACCTGCTTAGAACAAGCTTAGCAAAAGCATCAGGGACCGCGGTTCAATCCCCCAGCACCACATGCCAGCCAGCCCGCCCCCTGGTGGACTGAG